GGGAGACACGTCTTCCCTCCAGCCCCCCATCTTCCCGGGGGCAGCCCCACTGAATTGGGGGGCCAAGCTGGGGTCCGGAGACAGGCGCCTCCTTCCCTTGGACTTGGAGGCTCTGGAGTCAGACTTGGGGGGCCCTTTCCCTCCGCCCCCCCACACCCAGGGGGTCCCCTCAGCCCTCCTTCTTGGGGGTCTCCTCCACTCCCCCCTCTCACTCCGCCCCCCACACCCAGGGGGTCCCCTCAGCCCTCCTTCTTGGGGGTCTCCCTCCACTCCCCCCTCTCAGTCCGCCCCCCACACCCAGGGGGTCCCCTCAGCCCTCCTTCTTGGGGGTCTCCCTTCCCTCCCCCCTCTCAGTCCGCCCCCCACACCCAGGGGGTCCCCTCAGCCCTCCTTCTTGGGGGTCTCCCTTCCCTCCCCCCTCAGTCCGCCCCCCACACCCAGGGGGTCCCCTCAGCCCTCCTTCTTGGGGGTCTCCCTCCGCCCCCCACACCCAGGGGGTCCCCTCAGCCCTCCTTCTTGGGGGTCTCCCTCCGCCCCCCACACCCAGGGGCTCCCCTCAGCCCTCCTTCCTGGGGGTCTCCCTTCGCCCCCCCTCAGTCCGCCCCCACACCCAGGGGGTCCCTCAGCCCTCCTTCTTGGGGGTCTCCCTTCCCTCCCCCCCCACACCCAGGGGGTCCCCTCAGCCCTCCTTCTTGGGGGTCTCCCTTCCCGCCCCCCCCTCAGTCCGCCCCCCACACCCAGGGGGTCCCCTCAGCCCTCCTTGGGGGTCTCCCTTCCCTCCCCCCCAGTCCGCCCCCCACACCCAGGGGGTCCCCTCAGCCCTCCTTCTTGGGGGTCTCCCTCCGCCCCCCACACCCAGGGGGTCCCCTCAGCCCTCCTTCTTGGGGGTCTCCCTCCGCCCCCCACACCCAGGGGGTCCCCTCAGCCCTCCTTCTTGGGGGTCTCCCTTCCCTCCCCCCTCTCAGTCCACCCCCCACAACCAGGGGGCCTCTCAGCCCTCCTTCTTAGAATCATAGAATCATAGAGTTGGAAGAGACCCCAAGGGCCATCGAGTCCAACCCCCTGCCAAGCAGGAAACACCATCAGAGCACTCCTGACATATGGTTGTCAAGCCTCTGCTTAAAAACCTCCAAAGAAGGAGACTCCACCACACTCCTTGGCAGCAAATTCCACTGTCGAACAGCTCTTACTGTCAGGAAGTTCTTCCTAATGTTTAGGTGGAATCTTCTTTCTTGTAGTTTGGATCCATTGCTCCGTGTCCGCTTCTCTGGAGCAGCAGAAAACAACCTTTCTCCCTCCTCTATGTGACATCCCTTTATATATTTGAACATGGCTATCATATCACCCCTTAACCTCCTCTTCTCCAGGCTAAACATGCCCAGCTCCCTTAGCCGTTCCTCATAAGGCATCGTTTCCAGGCCTTTGACCATTTTGGTTGCCCTCCTCTGGACACGTTCCAGTTTGTCAGTGTCCTTCTTGAACTGTGGTGCCCAGAACCGGACACAGTACTCCAGGTGAGGTCTGACCAGAGCAGAATACAGTGGCACTATTACTTCCCTTGATCTAGATGCTATACTCCTATTGATGCAGCCCAGAATTGCATTGGCTTTTTTAGCTGCCGCGTCACACTGTTGGCTCATGTCAAGTTTGTGGTCAACCAAGACTCCTAGATCCTTTTCACATGTACTGCTCTCAAGCCAGGTGTCCCCCATCTTGTATTTGTGCCTCTCATTTTTTTTGCCCAAGTGCAATACTTTACATTTCTCCCTGTTAAAATTCATCTTGTTTGTTTTTGCCCAGTTCTCTAATCTGTCAAGGTCGTTTTGAAGTGTGATCCTGTCCTCTGGGGTGTTAGCCACCCCTCCCAGTTTGGTGTCATCTGCAAATTTGATCAGGATGCCCTTGAGTCCATCATCCAAGTCGTTGATAAAGATGTTGAATAAGACCGGGCCCAAGACAGATCCCTGTGGCACCCCACTAGTCACTCTTCTCCAGGATGAAGAGGAACCATTGATGAGCACCCTTTGGGTTCGGTCAGTCAGCCAGTTACAAATCCACTGAGTGGTAGCATAGTCAAGACCGCATTTTACCAGCTTCTTTACAAGAATATCATGGGGCACCTTGTCAAATGCCTTGCTGAAATCAAGGTAGGCTACATCCACTGCGTTCCCTTCATCTACCAGGCTTGTAATTCTGTCAAAAAACGAGATCAGGTTAGTCTGACATGACTTATTTTTCAGAAATCCATGCTGACTATTGGTGATCACAGCATTCCTTTCTAGGTGCTCACAGACTGTTTGCTTAATGATCTGCTCCAGAATCTTCCCTGGTATTGATGTCAGACTGACTGGGCGGTAATTATTATTCCTCTCTTTTCCACTTTTTGAAAATAGGGACAACATTTGCCCTCCTCCAGTCTGCCGGGACTTCGCCTGTTCTCCAGGAATTCTCAAAGATGACTGCCAGTGGTTCTGAGATCACATCTGCCAGTTCTTTTAATACTCTTGGATGCAGTTCATCTGGCCCTGGAGACTTGAATACATCTAGACTAGCCAAGTATTCTTGTACTATCTCCTTAGTTATTCTGGGCTGTGTTTCCTTTGCTGAATCATTTGCTCCAAATTCTTCAGGTCGGGCATTGTTTTCTTTATCGGAGAAGACTGAGGCAAAGAAGGCATTGAGGAGTTCAGCCCTTTCTGTGTCCCCTGTTTGCATTTCACCATCTTCTCCTCTGAGTGACCCCACTGTTTCTTTGTTCTTCCTTTTGCTTAGGACATACCCATAAAAGCCTTTTTTGTTGCTTTTAACCTCTCTAGCAAGCCTGAGTTCATTCTGTGCTTTAGCTTTTCTGACTTTGTGTCTACATGTGCTGGCTATTTGTTTGAATTCCTCTTTGGTGGTTTCCCCCCTTTTCCATTTTTTGTACACATCCTTTTTTAATCTTAACTCAGTTAAAAGTTCTTTAGATAGCCACCCTGGCTTCTTTAGGCACCTTCCATGTTTTCGTCTCATTGGTATTGCTTGATGTTGTGCTTTTACTATCTCCCTCCCCTGTGGCACCCCACTAGTCACTCTTCTTCTGTGACTGTAACCCAAAGTGTGTTTTATAAGCTGGTCTCCGGCTCTGTTCGATTTAACCCTTCGCAAGCTGAGCGCAGCCAGGGGCCGCTCTCCCTCCCTCCCAGAATCCGGATGGTCCAGGGCATGTGCAGAGTTCTCTGTGATTCTGGGCTCAGAGGCCATCTAGACAGCAGCCTCGTGCCCTGCCCCCAGATGTGCGGGCGGGGTATAAATAATGCTGTATTCTTATTCTTATTCTTATTCTTATTATACTTCACCTGCTCACTAGCCGACTGAAAGTCTGTTGCAATATTAGGAGGGTACCTGAGAGAGACACCAGTCCCTTTGGAGGAAATGGCTCCGTTGGCAAAGCAGGAGCCTCTCGATCTGCGGGTCGTGGGTTCGAGGCCAAAGATTCCTGCATTGCCGGGGGTTGGGCTGGATGACCCTGGGGGTTCCTTCTGTGAATCTATTCCATGAACAAGAATCCGCCCCCTCCCCAGCTGGAGAACCGGGTCCCACCATAGGCGCCGACTCCATGGGGCCTGAGGGGGCCCGAGCCCCCTCAAAAATTCGTTTGGGGGGGCTCCGCCCCCCCAATAATCTCGGGCGCCCCTCCAGCAGAGCGCCGCCGCCGCGCGACTCCGGCCCTCTGGTTCAGGTTGCCATGTGGCTGCGTGCGCGTGTTTCGTCTGCGTTTAGGGGTCTCCCCTTCGGGTTTGTCTGCCGGCGCGCGAGGGCTGCCGCGTCTGGCTCAAACTCTCCACCAGCAAATCGCCCTCTCTGGTAAACAGGATCCCATTGGCTGCGGCGCGTCTTTCGGGGTGGGTGCAAGGCGTTTGCCGCGGGCGGATTGGCGACGACCCTTTCCCTTTAAATCAAGTAATCGCAGCCCGGCAGCGGTTTGCATCTCGGCCCAGCCTTTTCACGCGTTGCAACCCGGATAAGCCAAGTCGTGGGCGGTGGGGGACAATTTACAAGGCATTTGTGTGGTTTCTCTTTAAATCGCCCTATCTGCGCTTGAAACCAACCGAAGAGGTTTTCTGTTTCTTTTTCTTCTTTTTTTTTTTTTGCAAGAAGAGAACAGCTGGGTATCTGGTTCCATAAGGTGATGGTGAATATTGGTTCCCCCTTTTACAGATGAGGGGAAACATGAGTTTTCTTAAAGTCGACAGAAAGTTAGGTGCATCCTGTTCCTATTTAAATCAGCAGATGATTTTTTTGGTGGGTTGCGTAGGTGTTTTGACCCCCGCCTCCTCCCCACCTGCTCCCTCGCCAGCCAGCCAGCCAGCCAGCCGCGCGCCCTAGCCGGAGAGCCCCGGCCGTCCCCGTCGCGCAATCAGCTGGATCTCCCTTCAGCAGGCCGTGCTCACAACTTGGCCCAGGGACCCCCCAGCAGCGGATCTCCGACCCAGCTGAAGAATCCGGCAACAAGCCCCCTCCTCCCCAATCGCTCCGGCTCCGCCGAAATACGCTCCAAAACCCCCCAGATAGGCCGCCGGCCGCCAAGTCTCGTGGCGCCCTGAGCGAGGGTCTCTCCCCAACACCGCCACCTCGAACTGCGTTCTCCCAGCTACCCGAGCGAACCAGCGGCAGCTTCCCGGGCGCTCTTCCCGACTCTGCCTCCAAAGAAGAAGAAGAAACAGCCCCCGCCGAGGTGCATCCCAAAAGTTGGACGACGACGCGTCCCGGTATGGGCCCCCCCAATATTTTTTATAAGTCGGCGCCCCTGGGTCCCACCAGACCAAGTGAACTTCCAGAGGGACGCATCTCCGATGGGGCGCCCCCAGCTCGCCGCTCCGCCTCCCGCCTCCTTCCCCAATTCTGGGGGGCTGGGGGAGGCATCTCGTCCCTCCTCCGGCCGTGCCAGAACCAGCCTCTCCCACGGAGACCCCTTAGGGTGCCTTTCGGGGGGCTGGGAGAGGGGTCCCCTTCCCCCGCCCTCCTCCCGGGGCTCCGAAATCGAAAGGGGAAGCGCGGACGGAGTCTCCGCCATCGCCGCCTCTCCTTGCTCTCTCCCTGCCGAGCCTCATGGCTGCCCAACCCGCTCCGCTCCGCGCCAAGGGGCTCCCGCTGCTGCTGCTGCTGGGTAGGTCGAGGCCGGACGCCTGGGTCCCCCCTCGCAGGGCGCGGGAGGAGGAGAGCTCGGGGCCGGACGCCTGGGTTCCCTCCGAGGGGGGGGGGCGGAGGAGGAGGCGTCCCTCGCCCCCGTGGTCGGATTTTCTCCCCCTGCAAGGCAGAAACTCAGCGGGCGCAGGAAGGGGCTGGCGGGGGAAACTTCTCCGGTGGGATTTCTGCCTGTCGCAAAGAGGGGCGGGGATTTGGCCCGGGATAGTCCCTCCGCTTTCGCTTTCCGTTTCCTGGCCGAGTCCCGAATCCGGCACCTTCCTGCCCCGCTGCGTCCCAATGGAGCCTCCCTGGACAGAGCCAGTCTACCTTGCCCTGTTCCGGATTCAGCAGGGCTCTCCCGGTGAAGCCTCCAGGCCCAGAGGCAGTCTACCCAGACTGGGCTTGGAGGCTGGGCTGGGGGGACCCAGATGCTGCTGCTGCTGCTTTGGGGCCCCCAGAGGCATCTAGTCCACCCCTTCTTCTTCTTCTGCCCCTCCTCGCAGGAGCGTCCTTCGGCAGATCCTCGCCTCCGCTGGCCAAGCTGGGCTGCTGGTTCCTGGAGGAGGCTGGGGGCGGAGGCTCCGGCATGTCCAGCGCCCCCAAGCAGCGCCCCGCCATCTTGTTCCTGCCCCCACCCGGGAGACGCCTGGAAGAAGCTGCCCTGGAGTCCGAGTTGCCCCCGGAGGTGGAGGCCGGCCTGGCCTTCCAGGTCCTGGGTATGGAGACCCCCATAGGACACCCCCCCTGTCCCCTGGCTCCCATCCCTGCTTCTCATTCACCTGGAGGGACTTGAAGCACCTCTGAATTCCGCCTCACTGTGATATACCCATTTCACAGGCGCCACAACTGAGGCTGGGAAGCTTCACCCATTTCGCTGTGGGGCTGATGCAGCATTTCCCAACCTGGGCATGAGTTAATTATTACGCACCCCCCCCACCCACACACTGTGATATACCCATTTCACAGGCGCCACAACTGAGGCTGGGAAACTTAAGATGATTCTCAGGATCTTCAGTGTCGGCAAACACTCCTTCCCCAATCTCCGTTTTTAAACCTCCAGGGACAGAGTTGCTTTCCTTGGAGGTTTCCCAAACAGAGGCTGGAAGGCCAAATATCAGGGATTCTTGAGCTAAGATTCCTGCATTGCAGGGGGTGAGACTAGATGTCCCTCGGGGTCCAACCTACAGGTGTTTACTTTTTTATTTTTAAACATTTTTTTCTTTTTAAAACATCAGTGTGATTGAACAACACTAAATAATAATACAGTGATACCTTGGGTTAAGTACTTAATTCGTTCCGGAGGTCCGTTCTTAACCTGAAACTGTTCTTAACCTGAAGCACCACTTTAGCTAATGGGGCCTCCTGCTGCTGCCGCATGATTTCTGTTCTCATCCTGAAGCAAAGTTCTTAACTTGAAGCACTATTTCTGGGTTAGCAGAGTCTGTAACCTGAAGCGTATGTAACCCGAGGTACCAGTGTAATAATAATAATAATAATAATATCTTATATCACTATAAGAGTTAAGAATTCCAATTCCATATATACTTCTCTAATGTCTAGCTGATATTATTATCCCAAAACATAGATGTTGATTCTTAACCCACTATATTTGGTATAAATGCATTCCAACTCTGCAACTCTTTATGATCATTTTATAACGGCCCTGTAGCGGATTCCCCCCTCAAGCCTCCAATTCATAAAGACGCATTATGTCCCCGCTAACGACCCCAATATTATGTCCCTGCTAACGACCCCCAATTAAATATAGCAGATCCGCCACACATGACGCCAATTCAGTGAATTTCTGCCACTGACCACAGCATCTCTTGTGTGAGGGGAAACTTGGGGATTTAGAGTCCAGGGCAGAAGCGGAACAAAGAAGAAAAGTTCTATTTCCCGAGGAAAAGGTGGGGTCCGGAGACGGGTCTTTCAGGCAGAAGTCAACTGATTGCCTCAACTTGGAGGCTGTCAGGGCATTAAACGCAGAAGTCCATGCAGAAGTCTCTTCTCAGGCCGATGTTCCGCTTTCCAGACATGGTGCTCCAATGCTGAACTCCATTTCTGCCCCTTCTTCCCTCTCCTTCCTGGACTGAGTCGTGTCCCATTCAGACTTGGGGGGTTCCTGAGCGAGGGGCCCTTTCCCCCTCAGTCCGCCCCCCACACCCAGGGGGTCCCCTCAGCCCTCCTTCTTGTGGGTCTCCCTCCGCCCCCCACACCCAGGGGGTCCCCTCAGCCCTCCTTCTTGGGGGTCTCCCTCCGCCCCCCACACCCAGGGGGTCCCCTCAGCCCTCCTTCTTGTGGGTCTCCCTCCGCCCCCCACACCCAGGGGGTCCCCTCAGCCCTCCTTCTTGGGGGTCTCCCTCCGCTCCCCCTCTCAGTCTGCCCCCACACCCAGGGGGTCCCCTCAGCCCTCCTTCTTGTGGGTCTCCCTCCGCTCCCCCTCTCAGTCTGCCCCCACACCCAGGGGGTCCCCTCAGCCCTCCTTCTTGGGGGTCTCCCTCCACTCCCCCTCTCAGTCCGCCCCCCACACCCAGGGGGTCCCCTCAGCCCTCCTTCTTGGGGGTCTCCCTTCCCTCCCCCCCACACCCAGGCGGTCCCCTCAGCCCTCCTCTTGGGGGTCTCCCTTCCCTCCCCCCCACACCCAGGGGGTCCCCTCAGCCCTCCTCTTGGGGGTCTCCCTTCCCTCCCCCCCCACACCCAGGGGGTCCCCTCAGCCCTCCTTCTTGGGGGTCTCCCTTCCCTCCCCCCCACACCCAGGGGGTCCCCTCAGCCCTCCTTCTTGGGGGTCTCCTTTCCCTCCCCCCCCACACCCAGGGGGTCCGCTCAGCCCTCCTCTTGGGGGTCTCCCTTCCCTCCCCCCCCACACCCAGGGGGTCCCCTCAGCCCTCCTTCTTGGGGGTCTCCCTTCCCTCCCCCCCCCACACCCAGGGGGTCCCCTCAGCCCTCCTTCTTGGGGGTCTCCCTTCCCTCCGCCCCCCACACCCAGGGGGTCCCCACAGCCCTCCTTCTTGGGGGTCTCCCTTCCTTCCCCCCACCTTCCCCTCCAAGCTCCCCCCTCAGAAAAGGCGCCTTGCCTTTTCCCGCCAAAAGGGCTGGCTCCGCCCCACGCTGGCTTAGGAGCCAATCAGAGCGAGGCTCCAGGAAATTTCTGAGGGACTAAGTCCGCTGACTGGCCTGGCTCTGCTGTCCATCACAGGCCCAACCAAGGGGGGCATCCGGCAGCTTCCCAATACAGTGGTAAGTACTTGATTCGTTCCGGAGGTCCGTTCTTAACCTGAAACTGTTCTTAACCTGAAGCACCACTTTAGCTAATGGGGCCTCCTGCTGCTGCCGCGCCACTGCTGCACGATTTCTGTTCTCAACCTGAAGCAAAGTTCTTAACCTGAAGCACTATTTCTGGGTTAGCGGAGTCTGTAACTTGAAGCGTATGTAACCCGAGGTGCCACAGTATCTATATCTGGCCGCAGTGATCCATGTGATGGTCACCTCCAGGCTTGACTACTGTAATTCGCTCTACGCGGGGCTGCCCTTGAAGCTGTCCCAGAAACTCCAGCGGGTGCAGAATGCTGCAGTGAGGCTCCTCACGGGGTCCCTGCCATGGGAGCATATTCACCCAGTGCTTTTCCAAGCTGCACTGGCTCCCGGTGGAGTACAGGGTCAGATTTAAGGTGCTGCTTTTGACCTTTAAAGTCCTTCATGGCCTAGGACCCTCGTACCTACGGGACCGCCTCTCCCGGTCTGCCCCACGGAGAGCCTCAAGGGTCCATAAATAGCAACACCCTAGTGGTCCCGGGCCCTAAGGAAGTTAGACTGGCTTCAACCAGAGGCAGGGCCTTTTCAGTACTGGCCCCGGCCTGGTGGAACGCTCTGCCTCATGAGACCAGGGCCCTGCAGGATCTGATGTCTTTCCGCAGGGCCTGCAAGACAGAGTTGTTCCGCCTGGCCTTTGGCTTGCAGCCAATTTGATTCCCTCCCTCCCTCCCTTTCTTTCTTTTTTCCTTTCCTTCTCCTCCTGCGATGAGGCTACATTTTAATATTTTAATGTTTCAATATTTTAATGTTGTATTTTAATTTTGTTTTTAAGTTGTATTCATTCAACTTATTTTTATTAATGCTTGTTAGCCACCCTGAGCCCGGCCTTGGCTGGGGAGGGCGGGGTATAAATAAAATTTATTATTATTTTTATCTATTATCCATCTTATCCATTTTAAACTCTTAGGGCTTAAAACCATTTGCAATACCTGTGCTGGGTGCCAGAGCCCCACGAGGCCCAGGGGAGCCCCCAGCGGACTTTGACTGAGACCCACGGAGAGGAATAAAGCGAAGATATGATGAGGTCCTGGCTCCGGGTTCAACCACACACCCACACACAATTTAAATTGAGAATATTTGAATAATAAAAAGGGAAATAAAAAGTGAATAGAGAACAAAGAAATAAAAAAATAAAAAAGGGGGAAGGTATATCACTATATATGCAAACAACTACAGTTCCATACATGCTTCTCTGGTATATAGGTACAGTGCTTTTTTTCTAAAAAATGTTCAGGGTTACTCTCATTTTGACTCAAGAAAATCACCATTTTATAGTTCCAATTGGGAAAAATAAATACAGTAAATGGACAACAGAAATCATCTCAAGAACTCAGGAGTCCTATTGTTGTGGATTAATTTAATCTAGTTATGCTTATTCTGAATGTACTTCAAATTGTTTTCCAACCTCAGCATTTACACGATTCAGAGGTTGTTTTGGTTTATTAACTGGCATTTAAATCCCATAAGACAAAACAAATCCTCCTTAGAGGGCATCTTGTTCTCGCTGAGATTCCTGCATCGCAGGGGGTTGGACTAGATGACCCTTGGGGGTCCCTTCCAATTCTGTGATTCTGTGAGTTGAACTGAACTGGCTGACCCAGAACGGTGGAGTTGGGAACCCCAAAGGTCATCCACTCCAACCCCCTACGATGTAGGTTGGGGGGTCCGGCAGTGGAGAGAAAAGGCTCATCATTCCCCCCCCCCCAGACACTGGTTCACCTCCCCCTGCTTTGTCCCCCCGGCAGACCCCTCTGGGGCCCTGTGGGGCGGTCAGGCCTCGGCCACCCCCCCGCCCTGGCTGAGTCTGGATGCCAGCGAGGCTGAATCCTCCTGCGAGATCAACGCTTACGCGCCGCAAGAGTCCCACTTTGTCCCCTGGGCGGAGGGGCTGGCGGGCGGAGGGGGCTGCCCCCGCGCCCTGGAGAGGGGCAAGTGGCTCATCGCCAGCATCCAGGCCCCCGACGCCGAGTTCGGGGTCAGCAGCGTCCTGCACACCGAGGAGGCCCCGCCTTGGAAGCAGCAGGATGGGGTCAGCAGCGTCACCACCACCGCAGGTACCACCTGGCGAGCGGAAGGGGAGCAGCCGAGCGGCCTAGCGGTTAGAGCCCTGCGCCAGCAGCCTGGGAGAGAGGGACCGAGGGCCAGTCAGTGCTCCTCAGGCAGGCCTGCCTGGCAGGGTCAGCGCGGGGGAAGGGGAGGGAGGCCGCCTTGAGCCCCTGGGAGGAGAAGGCGGGGCAGAAAGGCCATGATTTAAATGAGGAATGTCCAAAGTCATTGGTTACACCCTCCTGGGGGGTGGGGGGCACCGTGGGCCAATTGGAAAGCGGAAATCCCTGGATCAAATCATCTGCTGGGTTGAACTACTTGGAGTAGTTTGAAGTGGATTTTGAGTCATTTGGCAAGCAATTGTTGCTCTTTCAAATCTTGCTTTCCTCTTACTGGGTCGTGCAAACAGTTGTTCCAAACCATGCCTCTTTTAGGGCACTGGCTGAAAGGGAGAGCGTTTATGGGGGTCTCCCCCAAATTTGAGAACCACAAAATTAAATGGATAAATCAAATAGATTGTGGGTTTGTTCAGAGCCGTCTTTCCCATAGGGCTTAGTGATGCGTCGCGCCAGGGCGCTGGCCTCTCGGGGGATCACTCTCCTGCATTGGCATGGGGGAGAGTTGCGCCCCCCACAATGGCTGGCAGTGCGCAGCTACGGCCACCCCAACACTATCGGTGGTAATTTGGGGGTGCTGGGCAGACATTTGCAGCCTGGCGCCGCATCTGCTAAACACGGCCCTGGGTTTGTTGTTTTTCCCTTCTGGGATTCCTCCCTTGCACGGGGGGTTGGTCTAGATGACCGCTGGGGATCTCTCCCGCTCACCTCGCCCTCCTCCCTCCTTGCGCAGCGGTGCTGTCGGTCTTCACGCGGACGCCGCGCCTGGAGTCCCGCCTCGGGCGCCCGGCGGTCCTGCACTGCGGCTTCTCGGCGCCGGCCTCGGCCTTCTCGGTGGAGTGGCGCCATCAGTTCCGGGGGGCCGGGAAGGTGGTGCTGGCCTTCGACGGAGCCTCGCGGGGGGTGTCGGTGGCCGAGGAGGGGGCCGAGCTGCTGCTGGATGCCGAGGGCGGCGGCGCCTCCCTGCGCCTGCGGAGCGTGGCCGTCCGCCACGAGGGCACCTACATCTGCACCGTCTACCTGCCCCACCTGCACGCCCAGCAGGCGCTCGAGTTCAAGGTGGTGGGTGAGTGAGCGACCGGGGGTCTCCCTCGCAGGGAGGGCGGAGGGAAGGGGAAAGGGGGGTCCACTGCCCAAAGGGACCCCATGGAGCCAGCATCTTGTATTCTCACAGTGGCCAAATGCCGGCCAGGCCCTAGGGATCCAGATAGACTGCTCCTGGGCCTGGAGGCGCCAAAAGAACATAGGGAGAGTGCTTAAACCTCGCAGTGGCCAAATTGCCCTGAGATCCCTGCCTGGCAGGGGTTGGGCTAGATGACCCTTGGGGATCCCTTCCACCTGTCTGATTCTAGGCTTCTAAGAACCAAGCGATCCAGAGAGACTGCCCCTGGACTGGGAGGCTCCTTAAGAAGCGCCTGGCCACTTGGTCAAGCCAACGGGGACCCTGTCTTCCTCAGGATTCGAATCCAAGAGCCCCCCTCTCCCCTCCTGGCAGCTGGGAGCCTGCAGTGCTCCTGGTTGTCAGCAGGGGGCGCTCTGCTCACTCCCTCTCCCCCTCTTGCCCTGCAGAGCCCCCCCAGGTGACACTGCGCCCCTCGACGCTCTCGGTGCCCCCCGGCGCCCGGCCCCAGCTGGCCTGCGAGGTCTCCGGCTTCTTCCCTCTGGGTGCCTCGGTCAGCTGGAAGCGGAGGGGGTCCGGCGCCCCCCAGGACGCCTTCCTGGACATTGGGGACTCGGGGCACCGCCAGGCTCCTGACGGCACCTTCAGCTTCACCAGCTTCGCCCGCCTGCTGCCTGTCCCGACTGAGGACCACGGGGTCTCCTACGTCTGCCACGTGGGCCACGCCGGGCTGGGCGAGGCGGGGGTCAAGAAGGCGGTCGTGCTCCATGTGGCAGGTGGGGGTCTGCACTTGGGGGTCTGTGCCGGGGTCCCCTGGGGGCTGGGTAGCAAGGCCCAGAAGATCGGCTGCGGGTGCGATTCCTGACTGGCGGAAGGTTGGGGGGTCGTCCGTCCTGGGTGATTTAGCTGGGATTCCTCCCTTGAAGGGGGTTGGGCTAGATGACCGCTGGGGTGCCCTCCCAACTAGGATTCTGTGAATTGGCACTGATCAAGTCGGGCATGGGGTGGAGGATATGGGGGTGGGGCAAAGGTGTAGCTTTGGGACCTGCAATGGGTGGCCAAGGCAGGGTGGGGGTCTGACGTCGCCCCCTTCTCCCTCGCTGACGCCCCCCCTTCTGCCTCTGCCCCTTCTCCCCCCACCCAGGGTCCCTGGGCCCCTCCCTGGAGGACGCCATCGGCTTGTTCCTGGTCGCCATTGTGCTCCTGGGGGTCTTGCGGTCCTTCTTCCGATGGGGTAAGGTTGTTCCCACCCACCCCTTCTGTGCTGTTATTTTTGTTATTGATATGGTCCTATTTTACCATTTGGTCAATATTTTAGGGGATACTTTAGCTGAGATTCCTGGGGTCCCTTCTGATTCTACAATTCTAGGATTCTATAAATGTGCAGAGCACCCCTATTTCGTGGATCCGGGCAATTTGCGGCATAAAAATGCACGATGAAAACACAACGTACATAATAAAATGAGAACCAAAACAAATAACCCAGCCTCCCTCAAGTCTAATTATTATAATGAAAAATAGAAATATTTTCCTGGGGGAGACAATTCAGAATCTATTAAGACCATGCAAATATTGACAGTAAAAGCAGCTGAGAAATCTCTCCTCCACCACCTGACCCCTTTGATTGGCGGAACTGGCACTGGCCAATTGACTCCCCTTTCCCACAGTTGCCAGTACAAGAAGCTCAGCTGGGAGAGCCTGAGACTCTTGATTTCAGGGTTGTGGGTTCAAGATTCCTGCCTTGCGGGGTGTTGGACTAGATCAGTGTTTCCCAACCTTGGGGCTCCAGCTGTTTTTGAACTACAACTCCCATCATCCCTAACTAGTAAGACAAGTGGCCAGGGGTGATGGGAATTGTAGTCCAAAAACAGCAGGAGAACCAATGTTGGGAAACACTGGACTAGATGACCCTCGGGGTCCCTCCTGGCTCCAACAACCTTTGGAACTCCCTGCCTCTTGATACTGTGATAGGAATTTTATGG